GATATACTATATACATATATGCGTAGGCAGACAAAGACTTGTTAATTTCACAGACACGCAAAATGAACAAAAGCTTGGCTTTTGGTGCTGCAAGATATTTACGTCAATTGCAACTGTGTAATGGAATATTTTTGTTTAATTCGCAAAGTTTCCAATGAACTTTGGTGGAATCAAGTCGATGGTTCTTAACCATGGATCGAGTTTCCATTATAATTCTATGTTAATTCGATGTTGGAATTATTATATTTTTTCACACAACAATGTTAAGATCATTATAAGGGCATTTGCTTTAAAATGGTTTACTAGGAATTAATTAAATATAAAGTGGTTCTTAGTCATGGCTTTAAAAAACGGGTGTCAGACAGAGATATTGGCTTTCTTTTGAATTTATAAACTATAGTTATAAGAACTATAAACCCTTTTTCTGCTAAAACTCCCTAGGAATCCCTATATAAATATTAAACTTGTGTCATATAATTATAACCATATGCTCTTATCTTTAAACATAAAAAAACTAAGCCCAATTAACTGTTGTTTTCTCTGTTCCATAAATAGCACAAATAAAATTGTTGTACCTAACTACTGTGGGAATTTAATTAAGCTTCATTTAGCAAAAGGAAAGCAAAGCAAATGCTGAATAATTAGTGACCATGACAGACACTTCCGGTAAAAGCATCACAATTTGCATGCACATCTCAGCAAACGAAATACAAATTATTAATTAAAACAAATCTCTACCCACGCAGATATAAATTGAATTATCACAACAAGAGCAGAACCAAATAATTGAATCACTCAACAATAATCGAAAGCTTCGAAATTAGCCAGGGAAAAATAATAAACAACAGGCATATAAAATATGCAAGCAAAACAGAAAGCAACTCGGGGAGGCTAAAAAAATAATAAATAAATAAACAAAAAGCAGAGCTCAAGAAATTCTTTTCGCAAATCGCACTACTTGAATTCCGCTGTTTTTGTTTTCGGTTCAGTCCGGTTTGAGTTCACTTTTCACATTTTGTATTTTCATTTTTCAGTTTTCAATTCAATTAAGCGTCGGCGGGCGGCCGGAGTTCAGCACACATTGCTGAACCTGGCGTCTGGGACCTTTTTCTGTTCTTTATTTTTATTCTTTTCTGTCGTTGTTGTTTTCTGCTCTTCTGGTCTCAACCGTAATTCACTTTATTCAAATGTGTATAATAAAATAAACGCCTATATGCACAAGGCACAATGGGCGAAAACAAAATAAGAAAGAAAACTAAGCGGCCCATTGTCAAGTCGAGTTGTTCTTTTGCACAGAAAGAAATTCAAGATCAAAGTCCTTTTAAGCAGGAATTAGGAATAAAATATGATCTTTTATAATAGTATTTAAAAAGAGTGAAAGCAGTATATGATAATCTCTTTCTCATGATATAATAAAATATACAAAGATAGTAAACAAACAGGATCAATAGACTTTCGAATCTAAGAATGTATGTTAAAACCTCTTCATATTATACGAAAACTACATCAATGATCATAATAATTTTACAAACCATAGATATATTTACCCATTTATAATCTAGGTATTAATTTTCTTTCATCTAAAACCACTTTAAATTGATCCTGATTTGTATTTAGTTCTTTTTCCTGTGTTCCCTTACTGGTTTTTGCCGCAGATTCAGATACAAAAGACTGAAGCCGGATGTTTTCGAGCAAAGAGACCCCTTAACTATATAGCTTTTGTGCGAATTGAACTTTATCTCAATGAAGAGTGACAATGAGAACGTCTCTTTGGGGCATCATCATCATTGAGGCTCAAGTATGGAAATTATTGTCGCAACGGATAAATTGCCACAAATGCATTCTGCCTCTAGAGACTAACTAGGGTTTGTTATCAGCCTGGTAAAGTGACACCCACTGAAAAAGCAGCGGATAAGCACAATTAAAAATAATGTTTACATAAATATAAATAAAATTCACTAGGGATTCATGAACAACTTGCACATTAAGCCACTCAATTGTGAGGAACAATGAACTAGAAAATTGAGAATATTATATGCATTTTCAAAAAGATCTTTAACTTTATCTAAATGCACGATCAAGAATAAATAAAAGCAAAAAAACGCAACTTATTTTCGTTTAATAAACATATACCTTGTCCCACAATTAACTATCAAACCATTCAATTAAATAAGCTTATACTACCAACACTTCCTACCTGGTACAACGTTAACGTTTGATAACGTTATAGACCAGATCTGGTTATTTATTGATTTACAGCTTATCCAGACAACATATCAAAGCACGGATAACGTTTACAGCACGGCAACACGATGTCAGTTGAAATCAAGGTTATTTAATCAATGGAGGGGAAAATGTAGGAAAATGTTTACTCCAACTCGAGTCGACTTTCAGATACAGATACATCTGTTAAATATTTCGCTTTTGGCGCTGCAATAGCTCAATGAAATTTACTTGCACAAATTAATGCCGCACAATTACCGAATGAGCGAGCAAGCGACAAAGTTATATCCCAAAGTCGGGCACAAATTGATTGTTCGCTATCTCGGACATATGTATATATATATATATGCCTGCTCTCTATATAGGATTTATATATATTATATATGGAGCTCTCGTTCATATCGCTTAAATTGCTTTCATGTGCTCCCCCAAGTTTTATATTTAATGTTATTTTAGTCTCTCATTTTTTATGCTCGCCAGTTTGTTTGTTTGTTTGTAGTGTAGGAAATCCATCTGGTGGGCGTATATTTGTTTCGCTTCTCTGTCCTCTATCATTAACACATCGCGCGGCCAGTACTTGATTTAATAAATTTGATTAGGATTTACGAGCGTGTGGGTTTCCTGCATTTCGCGAGGGTCTCGTAATAAAACTGGAACAGACCGATGTGTGAAATTTTTACGCAGATATAGTCAGCCATCAGGTGATCATGTACCATTAAAGATATCACATGGATAGAAAGCGAATATGTGCCAAAATTAGACTGGAATGTGAGTCACTTTAAACAGGATCATGTTCTTATTTAGTATTTATTTATTATTATTATATAGCACCTTCTCATTTGCCTCTATAAAATTCCACCTTGACACACGGCCTTTAGTAACAATATAATATAACCTAGCTTAACACAATCACCCCCAAAAGAGGACAACAATTAATTTTTCTGGTAATTTAACATAAAACCAGGTCCCATGACAAAAAACCCAACCAGATTTATGACCAACGAGCAACTTGTGCAACATTCTCGTGGTCTCAAAAATAAATACAAAACAACAGCAGCAGCAGCAAAGCGATTTTCCAGGGCGGGTTTTGGGTTAATACGAAAAAGTATTGATTTTTCTATTTCACCTTAAAAAATGGGTTAGTTCGCTGGTTTACTCTTGGATAAAGTTCAGGCCCTTCCGTTCAGAGTTCATTGAACTGAATGACCGACTGACTGACACAGACTCAACTCGAGACTGGTAGACTTATAGAGAGACAGAGAACTGGACAGTTGCAGTGGGGTAATAATAATAATAATCGATGTGAATCACCGGGCAAATCACGTTGTCGTCGCCCAGGCACGTACACAAATCTCTGAATATGCGATATATGGACAAATGGATAGATGGACGGTTGAAATGGATGTGAGACCGAATGCAAAGCGACGTTGACTTATTGACATCGATTGATTCCGATTCCAGTCGGAGTCTCAATCCGAGTCTGTCGGCTTTGGTTTTTTGTATTTTTTTTTATTTTACTCTAGCCTGCCGGATCTGTAAATTGCACGACTGTCTTTTTTTTTGCTCTTATGATTTTGTGAGGCAAATTTGAAAAGTCGTTTTGTATCGGTCAAACTCACGTGAGCGAGCGATTGGACTTTGCCGGCTGACAGACAGTTTACCCAAATACAATTTGTCCGTTGCCAGTCAAATGTATTTAGATAAATACTCAACTTTGTTAAAGGTAACATAAATATATATATTTTCTATATTCTGCTTCAAGTGAGTTATTTCTAGGGCAATCTTTTCCAGAGATAAGATAAGGAGTCCGCTCAGAGGTTCACATTTTTTTCGCAAATGTTTGCTGGTCTTTTTTGTCCAAGTTCAGCGCTAGCAAGGCTTCAAAGCTATAGATTAGGTAATTTATAGGGTTCTTAATCGTTATATTTATCGCCAAAACAAATGTTTGAACTCATAATTAATAAATGCGTAGCGATGAAGTAACCCAATTTCAAAATTGTATCTTGACAAACCCATGAAAAGTTGGGTTTTACCTATCAGTGAGTCACACAAAGACATAAAACATTTATCTAAATTTGGATTCGGGGAATTATGGAAAAAAATCACAATTTGTAGAAAGATTCCCTTGTACTTTATAATCGAGAAACTATAGAGTACTATACTAAATAAGTTAAACTAAATTCTCACTCAGAAAACAAAATAAATTATATTTAAACCCCATTCAAACAAAGTAAAATACGAATTTAGAACACAAATAAATGTGTAAGACATAATCCCTTTGCAAATATCACAAATGAATAAAGGTCTCTGCTCTTCATTCTCAGCATTAATTTAGAGCCCCATATAAAAAATAGGGTTTTAACATTTTAAAAATCTTTTTCAGACCATTATCAACCCGAAAAAAACATGGTTTGCTACCGTCATAAATTGTGCAAGGTTAGAATGGTCGTCTATCTTATCAGTTACGTATAAAAAGGCACATGAAACCAACAAAAGGAAAAAATAGAGACATTTTAGGGCTTATAAAATCCAACTGGATTTTATGAAACCAAAGCAGTCACAGAATTTAAATACAATTTATGGTCAGAATGAATCATGGTAATTTTTCATCAGTCGATCGAACCTTTAGTCGTCGTGAATTGCGAAAAGTTATCAATAGAAAAAATAAAGAGTGAATCATTGAAAACATGAGGCAAAAGATAACACACGAAAAAGTGCAATCAAAGGGAAAGAGATAAACAGGGAAAGAGGGAAGGTTGGGTTTTCTTTTTTCTTACCTGTCAATTTAGTTTCTGTTGTTTTGTTCTTGTTTTTCAAGCACTTCCTTCGTTGATTATTTGTTTTTTTTTTTCTTCTTTATTTTGTCGCTGCACTTGTTCTTCTTCCTTGCCTTCTGCTCCTGCTCCTCTTCGTATTCGTTTGCTTCGTTGTGTGTGTGTGTTTTTTTTATGCACTCGTTTTTTGTTTTGCTTGGCTCGTTCGTTTTTATCGTGTTGTCACGTTTTCACTTTCACAGGTAAATTCTAAAAGGAGGATACTTTGTTGTTGTTGTGTTTGCAACCAATTTATTCTGCTGCCCGCCACAGGGGGCGTGGCGCGGGACAAGGAGGGGGCTTTTTGGCCTTTACACACACAGGCACACACACGCACGCACACGCAAGCACAGAGCGCGAGCGAAACAGCAAAGTTTCTAGTTATTTAAGTTATCCAAATTTAATTAAATATTTTGCAAGTAAGTCGTGTTATTTAATTTTAATTTTATCCATATTTTTGGTTACTTATTTATTGTTTTTTTAGGGAACCGAAGACACGAGAAGCGCGGAGTGTGCCACAAACTTTTGGAGACAATATTTTTTTCGAATGAGCACCTGCACTCGTATTTATAGGTTTCTTCAAGCCACAAAAGCTCTCAAAAGCCAAGAGAGAATTTGTTCGACGAACTTGTTTGAAGGTTCGAACTATGGGAGCCAGCAGTCACTTTTTGTGATATTAATTAGTAGCTTAAAGAACTTTGTATTTTAAATACCGCTACCCCATCTCCTAATTTGGATATGTTTCTGTTAAAAATGTAAATTTAAACCTTTTAAATAGAAAAAGCCATTTTAAACATTGAAATGAATTTTGGCCAGTTTATATGATTGCTTGCCCATTGTACAAAGTCTTGAGTTCGATGTTCGATGTCAAACCAGGGAGAACTTAAGGTTCGTTGCGGACTGAGACGACAGATCGAACAAGTCTTCATTTAATAGTAAAATTATTAAATATTCAAGATATTTTTAAGAAAAGTTGAAGCTGTAAACTTGGCAAATTCTAATAATAAAATATAAGCTATGACGCGTATTACCGTTATTTGAAGTGTGAGATGGGAGGAAACTGGGAGAGAGCAGCAAGTGCGCAAGTGTGTGTGGGAAAAAAGAGACCCTCTCACAGTCCAGTTAACAAAAATAATTATTTGGCCTAAACCTAGTCAATAAGGAATATATGAAAAATGGTTCCATTTGTATTATTTAAATAATGTTTTTAAATATCGTTTTAGTGAAGTATTTAATTAATTTTTTCCCTATATTTAACCATTATTAATCATGTCGTAATTCAAAGAGACCTCTCTGAAATTAAAAGAGAGCCACATATTTTGGGCTATGATCGTAGGTCTCTCTTTTCACCCTTTCTTTTATCGCTCTTTCTTAAATGTCAATGTATGGGTGCGATAATGATAAATACAAATGCTAATTTTGCCGGTTAATTTATGTTAAAATACTCGGGTAATGACTTTAAATTTGTTGGCAAAACAGAAACCGAATTTAAGCGCACTTTGACAGCTACTGTTGGGTTTATTTTTCAATCGAATTACCGGGCAATAACTTAAGAAACATAGGGGTTTTACGGAGTTTTATTCTTATCCGTACTTGTAATTATTTTGTTAAATTTCAAAACTCTTTTACACGTGGTTTCTTTTATTGCAACTTCACGCAACAGAAATTCCCGCACACACCAACACATACACGTACAAATTTAGAAAATAAGCGGAACACGTCGCATAGCGCAACAACAAACAACACTCTCCCGCTCTCTTTCTCTCTCACTCGCACTCCAATTGTTTGCCTGTGTGTGTGTGTAGAAAAATGTTGTGTACAACAACAAAATGCTTAAATTTCTTTAGTTATTCGCTTAGCACATTGATTTAACACTCAATTGTTGACACAAATATTGATTTACTCGCATGTAAACAGTTTAATAGTCGCATTTTAGCACTTGCTTTAAATTAGATAAATTAGAGTATCTATTTTGGGCGACTTCGATGGTGTGTGTGTGAGACGGGCCTTCTTTTCTAAACACCAAGCAAAAATGAGCAGCATTTGGTGGCCTAATTATTGTTTTCGGTAGTTTTTGTTTTAAACTTTCTGTTTAATGTTTTTCGTATACGTATTTTTTCACTTTACATTCCAATTGACACTTTATTGCAATTTATTACTTTGTTTTATTTTGTTATTTACTTCCAATTTTAGAGTGACAGTTTTTGAATATCAAAATATTAATATGTTTCTTGCCAGATTTAATTTTAATTTATTTTTGGTCACTCTGAATTCAGAAGATGTTATTGAACATTTTACACATCTATATAACATTTTACACGCTTACATGTATAGGAAGTAAAATTAATTAACAGACCTGCTGTCGTTAACAGAATTCTCTCTCGTTGGCTGACGGGTGGATTTTAGTTAACAGAGCACTCTCTCGTTAACAGTCCGGTGTCGGGTCGGTGTTGGTTGTTGAAAATATATCATATTTTATATATTATTTTTTATATTTTCTTTCTGGGCACTCTAAGCCACGAAGCTGTTATTTAACATGTTACACGTCTAGATAACATTTTACTCCTTTACAGATACATCATGTAGGAAGTAAAAAGCATCAACAGACCGCTTAACGGAGAGTGAGACCATTTTAAGGAAATACTACTAATACCAAATCGTGAATATATACAAATATACCAATATAGAAGGTTGCCAGACTGAGTGCCCAGATGCTATGTAATTTTGTATTATATTAATATAATTTTTCTCAGATTTCTAGATATTATAAAAGTCGAAACGGGCCGGATCGAAGAACTATAGCATATTTGTGCCATAGAGACGATCGAAAAATTAGAATAGTATAACTTTTTCCATTTTCAACAGATTTTTACATAATTTTATATATACACATTTTGTATTTTTTCTTGAATTTCGTTTTAAATTTTAAAAAAATCGGACTTCTATATCATAAAACACTATAGAAATTAATAATTGCATTAATTTCTATATAGTTAATATAACTTTTTCAAATTTCATCAGAATTTTACATAATTTGATATATACACATTTTGTATTTTTTCTGGAATTTCGTTTTAGATTTTTAAAAAATCGGACTTCTATATCATAAAACTGCTATAGAAATTAATAATTGTATTAATTTCTCGATCGTTAATATAACCATTTTCAAATTTCATCAGACTTATACAAATTTGATATATACACATTTTGTATTTTTTCTGGAATTTCTTATTAATTTGTTTTTAAATTGGACTACTATATATAGAACTTAATTGTACTAATTTCTAGATCGTTATTATACACTTTCTCATTTTTAACAGATTTTCACATAATTTGATATATAGCCATTTTGTATTTTTCTAGAATTTCGGTTTTAATTTTATGAAAATCGGAAGATTATATTATATACTTATAAGTCATGAGAACTTTCAAAAAATTAATACAACGACCAATTAGTTAACACAATCAAAACTTTTTCAATTTTCAACATATTTAAATTTAATTCGTTTGTAACCATTTTGTATTATTTCAGAATTTTGGTTTTAATTAGACGAAAATCTTACGTACATGATATTACTACAACAAAAATGATAGCTTCGAGGTTTTTAAAAAATTTCATCTGATAAGAAATGAAGCCTTCTTTCAAATTTATTTCGGATTAAATTATGTAAAAATCGCTTGACTATAAAATATAGCTTCCATAAAAACGGAAGTGAGCTTTGTTCGATTTTAAATTAAAATTTTTACGAATTTCCGCCAGATTTAGATATCTAATTTTTGATATCCCCTTTCCCAATGATAAATCAAAAGATTTTAATTTATATTACAAAATTAGATTGTTTTTTGTTCGTTTAAGTTTAACATCTAGATTGAGTCTTAATCTCTGAGTTTACATTTCGTTTAAAGGTTTAGTATCAAGGAAGCGTTTTTGCAAATCTCGGAATCTCTTAATTGTCATTAAAAATAATGTTGCACATTTCGTTGTTTTTCTGATTAAGGGCAAAAGTGCAGCCCGGAGTTTTGTGCGAGAGCTTGGAGCTCACATGTTTGGCATAAGGTCGATCCACAGACTGTAGGAAAACGGATCGAATGCTGGTTTGTCTGTGAGGAGATATAAGTATTATTGATTAAGATGTAAGAGATATATATTCAAAAAAAAAAAAAACTCACTCTAGAAGCTGCTCGGGTCGCTGCAACTGCATGCAGAGCTTAATGCCACTATAAAAGTCCAAATCTGCCTGCAGACTTAATTTTGGTTCATGGATAAGGCTAAAGTCCTGGACCAACTTGGCATAGGTGAAGCCAACGGCTACATGACCCAACAAAGCGCTGCCCGTGCTGAGAAATAACAAGAAATATATAAATAAAATATAAATAAAGTTAAATTGAAGACTCCGGAACTCACTTTTGCTGAATCTCCGTCTGGGCATTCCGATTCCACAAGCTGAAACCCACTTTGCCATTGAGATCCACACTCCTGGCTCCCAGGACTCGCCAGTGAAGCGTGGCTCCCGATGCCAGAATGATGTATCGCTCGTGATCCTGCGCCAAAGTGGTGGCCTGATAGGCAGGAGTCGTATCGGAAGCGGTTCCTCCCCACACATGACCCATGAGCTCCGTTTGGCCATTAAAGAAGATCAAAGGCCGCAGCTGAGAGCCCTGCACACTGATTTCCATGCCAGCAGTAATGGTTTCCTCGCCGCCCAGCTCATCATCCGCTGGGATTGCATCATTGCCATCGTCAGCATCGCCATCGCCCACCAGTGAACCCAAGCCGGCGGTATAAATGCCCAATTTAAAGGTGCTAGCCTGTGAACGTCCCGCATGGAGCAGGAACTCCACAGAACCACGCTTAAGGATGCCCTGGTAAACCTCCTGGGTACTCAACAGAGATTCGTTAAAGGCGGGCGCTAGGGAAAGCTGACGGGTGAGCACGGTGGTGAGACCTAGGAAATGTTTATCAGGAAAATTACATTTTAGAAAAGCAAACATTCTTCATAACTTACCCTTCTGTCCCAGCACATTGTAGTTGTTCACACGACTCCTCTTGGCCAGTTCCGTTTCGAATAACGCCCTAAACCTGGGACACTTCTCGGCTAGCATTCTCAACTTCTGCAGGACATAGGTTTTGATCTCAAACTGACGATCATTGGAGGCCAAATAATCGAGGAGATGGCCCAGCTGCTCCTTACTGGGCCTCAGCGATAGGATAACATCCAAAGCCAAGGTACGAGCAGAGCTATCGAATCGCCGTTTTCGCTGATAGAAAATTCCCTCAAACTGCTGACGATGCGAGGAATTCAAGTTGCCAACGGGGAAGGATTTGAGTGCCTGCAAGGCAGCCACCGATATGCTGGGTTCATCACGACTCTGGGCCTGTTCCAGCAGGGATTCAATGGTGGTGGGATCCTGGAGATTTTGCAGAGCCCTAATATACAATGTGGGCTCCTTGGAGGTGACGCCTTGCAGGAGATATTCCCTCACTTGCTGCAGCAATAGATCATTCACATCGAAGCCACTTTGGCGTGTTAAGGTGGCTATAGTCTGTACAATGCTATCCCTCAGTTTAGCTTGCTTCTTATTAACAGCTTCCAGTTGGAGTAATCCATATAAATGTTCAATGATTTTCCTCTCTGGGTGCGTGGCCACAGCTAGGGATTGTAGATACTTTTCCAACAGCTCCAATTGTTCGTTGGATGTATCCCCCTCCTTGTACAGGAACCCGAAGGTAGCGTTGTGGGCATCAAAGGTCTGAACAGCTCCCAAAAGATCCACCAATTGGGGTAGGAGCTTGGTGTGCTCTTTAAGCAAAGCAGCGAAACGTTCCTGACTGGTAATCCGAGCCAATGGTATGAGTTTGACAAAAGCCAAGGCTAGCGATGATTTTCCAACGTCCTCAGACTGCAGTTCATCCAGAGAAGCCTTCAGTTGATCCTCAAGCTGCAGAAAATTAAGAAAAGTTGTAAATCTTGTCAAGAAAAGACGAATCTTGCTTACAGTTTGCTCCTTCAACTCGCTTATAAAGCCATCTACATCAGATTCCAGCTCAAAGACGCGATACCATTCCAGCAGACTCTCGATGGCCGACTCTAAGCTGTCCTGTTCCAGCTGCTTAACATCGCTAGATCCCTGGCCGCTTTGTTGTAGGATGAGAACACTCTTGACCACGCTTCCCACATCCGGCTTAGCGGCCAAGCTGAGACGATGGGTTTCCACAGATTCCGCTTTAAGAAGTGATCCCTCTGAAGAGAGTTGATAGGAGACTTGCTCCTGAGACTGCTGACTGACACCGAAAGCTTCTTCTGGATGATAGGTGACCCTGAGATCCCACAAAGCACAATCTCTCTTGGCCTTTTCCACTCTCGTTGAGGATTTTACATTGTAGGAAACACGACACAGTCCAGAGACATCCAGCTCCTCTTCTTGGGAGGCATCCAATCTTAACAGAAGAAGGGAAGCGATACCACGCTCCAAATTAAGCAGAGATTGATCCTTTGATGTATGAGCAATGACTTTATGAGGCTGCCCTTCAACCAGACTAATGTAGAAGGGTCTGTCGGGGATTTTGCTGATGGAACGATCCTTCCCTGCGGCAGCCACGCGACTCTCGCTGATGAAAATCTCCAGTAATTGATCATTGTCCCGACTCCAAACAGAATTGATCTCAAGATCCGTCTCGAATTTGTAAGTAGTTTTAGATGAACTCGATCTCTGTCCCAGTTCCTCCAGACTAACTTCACTTTGCAGCTTAAAGAACTGTTGACTTTTTGGGGGAACCAATAGAGCACTTCCATCCGCTGATAAAAAGATTGGGACAAGAAGAAAGAATGGGACACGTCGTTAGTAAATCGAATTGCTATAACTTTCACCCGGAAAGAAGCAGAAGACGCAGCACGTTGCTCATTTCATTCCACAATTTTTAGCCTGGCCTGGGATCGAGGTTATCTACCGAGTGGCCCTGCACAGTGGGTGGCGTTATCGCCGGATTTGAAAGAAAATCATCAAATATTAAATGTTCAAGCAGCTGTGGTGCAGATAAGATGCACGCAGCATGGGATGATAAATATCAAAGGTCGGTTTAGGTAAATAGTTCTAAGTATTTGGGATATTTTCTATTTGTTATTACTGATAAAATAAATTTGTGACTTGGAATATTTAGGAAATTAGAAAATAAATCTATCTATATTGATATTGTGTATATATTGTGTATTTAAAATTTAATCATTTTTGCTATTATTTAATTTAAATATTTAAATTTAGAATTACGTTTATTTAAAGTTATTAAATTGTTTTTACAAGACCCTGAAAAATATAAGAAATTAACCTTGACCTTCAAATGATTAGCACATTGTTTTAACTATCTACCCCACTGTTCGAAATCAGCTGGTCCAATGGGAAAGTGTGTCAGTTAAGTTCTTCTGATTTGTTTTGTGTCGTGTCTATGTGTATGTGTGGGAGCGGCAATGCCAATGTTGTTGTTTATCGTGTACGTGTGTGTATAAACACAGCAACAAATAGTTCATTCAACTTTAGTTACTTTACTTACTTTCTACGTGCCTTGAATGTGCCAAATGCCGCATTTATTCAATTAAACATTAGATATTACCATTACTAAACTCACCCAAGAATCCCAATAAGACGGCGAGAAGAAGCAGAGATTGCATTTCTTTGTTGTTTCTATGTTTGTTAGCCATTGTTGTTGTTGTTGCTACTGCTTTTGTTCGATATGATTAATCTCAACTTAGACGAGGAACTTAAATTAATTCATTGATAAGACTGTTGTTAAGCCGGCTTCAGATTGATATTTCAGGCGGAGGAGTAAAACAGAAATGCCGCGAAATGAGAAACGAAACTGTGGGCACAATAGAGAGAAAGCGAGGGAAGAGTACAAAAAGGTACTAACGCGTGCTGGAGAACAAAAATACTAGATATTAAATAAATTAAAATTGGGTTAAAAACATATGAAACTTAAGTTTAAAAAGTAATTGACGCTATCTTTAGACTACTATATCATATAGGTGCTATTGAAAAGCTTGGGAAGTTCTTACAACAAAAATTTTGAACGCCGTTTTCAGCAAATTTTCATCTATGTTGACATGGACGCATTTTGCATTTTTTTGAGAAATTTGGTTATAGTTTTATAATAAAAAGATATATAGAGGTCCGATTTTGGTAAAATTTAATTAGAAATGATAAAAATTGACTATATCTCAAATTTTATGTGAATATGTTGAAAACTGGAAAAGTTATACATGTTTTTATACAAATTTTCCGATCATTTCTATGGCAGCTATATGATATAGTCATCCGATCCGGTCCGGAACTTCATATATAATAGTGAGTGCTAATAAAAGACTAACTGCAAATTTTCATTCAGATAGCTTCTAAATCTTTGAAAGAATTGAACATTTTTCCAAAAATAGTTAAGTTAAAATTAACCCATAACTACGCCAAAAATTCATTAATTTTAATTTCGAAAGCTTTCCTATGTTAGTTTTTATTAGGTTAATAAATCTGCATACTCAATTTATAATTTAAGAAATTAAAATTTTTGCCAATTTTTGAGATTCCTATTTTACCGATGTAACCCTTTATAAAATGTTGAGAAAAATTTAATTTTAGTCAGACATAGCTAGATCGACTCGGCTGTTGATTCTGATCTATAATATACATATATGATTTATAGGGTCGGAAATGATTCCTTCAGTGTTACAAGCTTCAGACTAAAATTCTAATACCCTGCAAGGGTATACAAATAATATCTTACACAGTTCCCACTTTTCTATTAATTTGGTTAATTAAACCTAAAATAAATGGTCTTTAAGTACTTGTTTATAAATCTAATAAATTTAATACGCATTTAAGAATTACATTTGTTTTGGGTGTAATATTCGATTTACATGGTGCAAATAAAGTGGTCTGCATCAATGCTGGAGTAAATGTGTCCCTCGGAAATCATGAAATCCAGAATGTTTCTAAAAGGAATAAAGAATTAGTTTATATTATATAAAATCGGATAATTTCGTTTAAATATGCGACTTACGTTAACTCGGAATCACTGATGTGCGAAAACTTGGCCTTGAGCTCCTTGCGACCGATTCCTTCCTCGGACACGTTGCTCTTGATGGCCTGGAAGACGGCCTGTTGCTTGGGATCCAGCCCACTGACAATGGCATTGCTTTGCGATGCGGTGAAGTCGGCCATGGAGCCAGAGCCCGAGGAAGCTGCTCCAGCAGCGCCACCCTTGCTCTGGTAATCCTCCGCCTTGTAACGGGCATTCAGAGTCTCCAGCAGGTGAGTGGTTACCTCGTTGGGATCCAGCACGGGGAGCAATTTGAACACCATTAGCGTTTTCTGGCCCGCCTGTGACCTTGTGGTGCCGTACACCTTTACATAGTTATTGACCATCACCTCGGGTGCATTGATGGCGTCGCCTTCCTCCAGCCAGTAGTGGGCATCGATCCGGCCGCTGTGATCCTCCAGGGTGTATGTAATCTTTGTCGACGAAGTCTCCACATTACGCACAATGGCGACCACAAAGGCCATGGCGTAGTGCATGCCGAACATTTCGATATTGCCCTCGGGGCATCTACAATCTGCTTAATCAATAGCGGCACAATACCCTAATCATGATAAACATTGTTAGTTGTGGGTTTATTTAGCTTATTTGTTTATTTACGCACCTCTCCTTTTTGGTTGCTGGCGGCCCCAGCCGGCGCCGTTTGTGTGGCATTGAAATCTCCAACTAAAAAGAAATATTAATTGTGGGTTTCATGATTCGGCAATATATATACTAATTACTTACATGAATCATTCATTTTGCAAGCTGTTTGTTATTTAGGAATGGAATAAAAAGTTAATTTCACAAGATGCTGCGAATAAACAACAAAACGCGCCAAATATTTATTGCTGGTATGACCGTATTCTGAATGGAGATAAGTACCAAGTTACTTTTATGTTTTTTGGTATTTTAATATATACCATATTTTTAACAATTGAACATATTATAAAAATTATTAAATTAAAAGTTAATATTAATATATTAATTAGATATTTAAGATTAAGATATTACTAGTTTCCATAGTTCAGCTTGTTAAACCTTGGGTTTTTATGTTTGCAGTATTTCCCATTGGAATATTTGTTTTTGTAAACAAAACTACATTTGTTCCATTCTTGTATTTGTATTTTTCGGTCTTAAAAATTATTTCTTAAATTAAATTTTGGCTTCTAGCCTCTTTTGAAATATTTTACTCCTGAGTTTTATCGTATTGTTTAAATATTAGGACAGTTTCCAGCTTTTTCATGTATTCAAAATATAGTTCTTTAATTTATCCCTTCCATTGATCACTCTTTGCTTTTCTTGGCTTTAGTTTCCTTAAAGGCCGATGGACAGATATCCTTGTTTAAGCATTCGCCACAGTTGGGTTTCAGGGGAGTGCAAATGGTTTGACCAAATCCCACAAATAGATGATTCACCTCCGCCCAGAGGCTGTGGGGCAGCCAGTTCTCCAACCCGATCCTGGTTTGTTCCGGCTCCTTGGTTGGTTCTGGGACCCAACCCAAACGGTTCGTGAGGCGGTGAACATGGACATCCACTCCGATGCCCGTGACTTTATTCCAAGCGACCGCCATGCAGATGTGAGCCATTTTCGGTCCAACTCCTGGAAGAGCTATGAGCTCCTTGGGATTGTCTGGTATGTCGGAATCGTATTTATCTATGAGAATCTCTACGGTTTGTTTGAGGTACTTGGCTTTGTTCTTGTAAAAGGATACAGGATGCAAGAGACTTTCCAGTTCCGTCACTGGCATTTCCTTTATACTGAAGGTGGTTAGAGTTCGCTCCTTGAGGCGATTCATGGCCTCGAATGTGGTTTGATCCTTGGTCTGACTGGACAGCATTAGGGCCACCAAGTTCTGGAAGCGTTGGGTCTGAAAAACAAAGAAACTTTATGAATGAGTCTGAATTTGATTATATTTCAAGGATAGACAGTATACCTTTGCGTCTGCCTTGGGATCCGCACAGCGATGGCAACCCATGGTGTCCACAGGTGCTGGCAAACGATTTCGCATAATGCGAATATTTTCCAGGTGGATAAGCCACAGGGGATGTGGTCCCTCCACTCCAAGGAACATATGTGGCTGCCCTTGGTGATCAACTTCTTTTTTAATATTTTCTAAAATCTCTTGCCTAGGTTCCTCTTTGAATTCTGTTTGTAATTCCTTTTTGATCCGATCAATCCTTAAGGGGGAGTTCATAGCATCCGGCACCACCTTGCACTTAACTACCATGGCGGAACCCATTAATATTTTGGACTGCAACTGATCCTGTTCCTCATTTTTAATCCTTTTGGGCAGAACTCGTGTTGGGGTTAAGGGTTCCGATTTAATATTAATATTCTTTACGGTTTCCCGCTGTTTACGGGTTTGTAGGGGTGAGAAGTAAATCGAATTACTGGAACCCGAAGTCCCCACTAGATCTTCAATATCCTTAAAAGTTATAAAAGTGTTAACTAGAAGCAATTGTGTGAATATTTTACAACTTACCCGCACATTATCAGCTCGATTCTGTCTACCAATTATTTCTGTGGGCTTTATGACATCGCCCCGTTTAGCCAATTTGTTGGCCAAGCTTAATTTCTTAACATTTCTGGCCATATTTACTTATTTTCTGTTACTTTAATAATTTGCATGCGCATTTAGAAATTTGTTTACAAACAGTGTGAACAATCGATAACGCGATAACGATGACCAGATGTTTAAGGCTATCGATATGTGGTATCCTTAATCGGCGGACATGTTTGTATTTTTCAAGCGCGAAATTCAAATGTGTACAGTATTTATTCATTCATATATGGAAATTTAATAAAATGAATGTACTTGTTAAAACTAATTTATTATTCTTTAAAACTTAATAATATTTGTTGATATACATTTGCATATTTAAATTGGTTTCATTAATATGGTCTTTCATATAGAAATTATAATAAAGTAGTTCAATGTTTCTGGCATAACGTTTCAAAATCTTTTTTTGATTACTCCGATTTGCTGCGCAACTTAGTCTCGTTTACCTGTAAAATAATAAATAAATAAAGATTAATATATAAAAAATTAAATAACTTTAATAGACCCACCTGTTGAGCTATCTTCAAGAGATGCTCAAAACTGGCTCGTCCCGTCTCCATTACCATCCCATAAAAGATCTGTCGCTTGGACTGCGTGAGGAGTTCATAGGGAGTGCCAAACTCCACCAGATTTCCCGCATCTAGAACCATTACCTTATCCGAATCTATAATCGTATTTAACCTATGGGCAATGGTCAGAACAGTGCAATCCCTGAACTTCCTTCGAATGGTGGACTGTATCAAGGCATCCGTTTGGGGATCCACATTTGCCGTGGCTTCATCCATCACTAGGATGCGGTTCTCTCTAAGAATGGCACGGGCCAGGCAGACCAACTGCCTCTGACCAACACTATAGTTAGCCCCACCTTCGGAAATCATGCTCTGAAGACCTGTGGGCAGCTCGGAGACTTCCTCTTTGAGGTGAACCTGAAGGAAGTTAATTTTAGTTAAATTTTAACTATAATAATTATGCAATGCTTACCTCCTCAAGGGCCTCCCACAACTTGTCATCGGAATACTGTTCAAAGGGATCGAGATTATAGCGCATAGTACCAGAAAATAGCACCGGTTCCTGGGGTATTATGGATATCTTGCTACGTAGATCATGCAGACCGATTGCAGCTATATCTTTATTATCTATCACCATGGATCCATCATTATAGGAGAGTCTAAATAGGGCATTTATAAGAGAGGATTTGCCTGCTCCCGTTCTACCCACAATTCCCACTTTCTCACAAGGTTGGATCACAAACTTAAGGGATCTCAGCACATTATCCGTTTTGGGATCTGGATTATATCTCAAGCTGAGTTCATCCGCTTTAATTTCTCCCTTTTGAGGCCACTCTTTCGGTGGTTTTTTATCCGCTGGAGATTCAAATTCTCCCTCTGACTCCAGATCCTTATATTCCAGGACTCTTTCCACAGATGTCATGGAGTTTTCCAATTCCGCCGATTGACGCATTCCCCACTGTACAGTGCCAGTCATGGACATGGCCTGAGTGATGGCCAATCCAATTTGTCCAGGATTATCCAGCGGTGGGTTAAAATAACTTGTCAAAGTCACTGATATCACATAGGCCACGCAGAATAGATCCAAATAGTAACCGAATGCTCGACTTGTGGAGAGGAAAGTGTAATATCCAGAACTGTGCAGATCCTGGTAGTTATCATATTCCTTGGTAAGCAGCTCCTGAGCACCTAAGGCTCTGATTGTGGGTAATCCATTCAAAGTGGCGCTAAAGTGAGAGTACATCGGGGATCTGGCCACCGCCTCCAATCTCTTCACATCCCTCGAGGTGCTCAGATAGAATTTCCGCAGGAAATGAAATGCCACAAACATTGTCGTTGTGTTGATCAAATACCAAGGATTTGTGATGCAAAGTACACATATAACGCCACTGATTGTTAAGAATATTTGAATGCAATCTAGCATTACAGCGGGCAGGACTTCATCCACTTGTCCCAGGTCCATGGCAAAACGATTCAGTATCCTTCCCGAAGGATTCGAATGAAAGAAATAGAGGGCCGTTCGGGAAATGCCATGGAACATTGAATTATGCAACTGAGTTGAGGAATGCATGGCCATGCTGAAGAATAAAAGGGTTCGCAGAAGAGCAAAGATCACCAGGGCTATATTGATGCCACTGAAGATATAAATGTCCAACGATGAAGATGAGTTATTGTTCTTTACCCTGAAAGCAAAAATATATTAATTTAATAAGAAATAAACCAGATAAATGTCGTACCTACCAGTAGGACAAGAAGTAATCTCCACCAGAGGCTAGAAGTTGAGTGCCCAGGCAAAAGAATGCCACCAAGATCACTAGAAACCAACCAGACCCTGCCGAGAAATATTTTCCATACATGCTTAGGCCAATTTTCCCCGTGGAACGAGCCTCCTGCACTGGCTTTCTCTCATCCTCGATAATAGAATCCTTGCCAGAATCCATAGAGTCCACACTAACTCGGCTCTGCCGGCTGCTTTGTCGTGAGTAATTGGATTTATCTCCTTTACTTTCATCCTGTTCCTGTACAAAATCTTCGTTTTCTTCATGGGCTTGCTGAGCCAGCAATTGGGCAAAGTTCTGACCACTTTTGAGCATCTCCTCGTAGGTCCCAACGGCTGTGACTTTTCCCTTATCCATAATCACTATGAGATCGGCATGTTCCAAGAATTGTAGTTGGTGGGTGACCAAGATCACTAGTTTATCTCGAAGGAAACCTCGCATACATTCCTCGAATAGATGACGACCGACATGGGTATCCACGGCACTCAGGGGATCATCGAGTAAATATATATCCGCCTGGCGATATACGGCTCTAGCCAGACTGATTCTAGCTCTTTGACCTCCAGAGAGAGAGGCACCTCGTTCGCCCACCAAAGTGCGATCTCCTTGAAGCAGTTCAAAGTCTCGTTCCAGGGCACATTTTCGTATAACATTATGATAGCGATGCTTATCCATGGGCAAGCCAAAGAGAATGTTATCACGAACGGAGGCATTGAAGAGCCAGGGTTCCTGGGAGGCATAGGATAGTATTCCTCTCACATTCAGCTTTCCAGATTCTGCAGGAAGTTCTCCCAGAATGGCCTGTATAAGGCTGGATTTACCAGAGCCCACGGGTCCTATGACTGCCACCAATTGCGGAGGCTTCAGACGGAGATTTACATTATCCAATATGGGTTCCGTGTGCTCTCGATTCCAACGTGCTTGAAAGGATTCCAATTCCACTAGAGGTTCAATATCTTTATTGAGAAGTTTGGTTTTCTTGGCACCCTCAAGAGAAGGAATACCAGCTTCATCGCGCATCATAAATGCCTTAATTCTCCTCAAGGTAACAAGCATCTCTGCGAATTGTGACATGCCACTGGGAAAGAATTTGCTCACCGTACGCCGCAGGATATTATAGAAAGCTGTCACCGAGAAGGCTCTCTCTGCTGTTAGTTCTCCGCCCATTAGGACAAATCCCAGGAGGCTCACAAATATCGCAATTCTTCCCAGAGTAATTTCAAAGGAGAGAAGCGTTCCCCTGATATAGTTCACCTTGCGAATGGAGCTCATTTCACTGCGTCGCAGCTGTCCAATCAGCCTTCCGAATGGTTTCTCCCAGGTGTACATTTTTATCACCTGTATGCCAGATATAATCTCATTCATCATTCTTACACGTTGATCAGTTCTCAGTGCCGTTTGCAATCTTAGTTTGGAAGTGAGTCGACTTAGATAGGTTTGAACTGGCAGATAGAGTAGTAAAATTCCAATGCCATAAAGCGATGCTACTCCAATGTGTTGGTAGAGGAAATATGCGGATATGAGCAGTTCCAGAGGTCCCAGCCACAGGAAGTGGAAGTGAATTAAGGCACGATCAAAGCGTCCTAAATCGTTGGACAAAAGATTAACCACCTGACCCGTGGTTGTATCTCCCAGAGCAGTGCGACTCAACCGGAGAGCTTTTCTATAAATCGCTGTACTTACAGCAACTCGCATTTTCATGGCCAGGTGCTGTGGGTTATAATATGCAGATTAATTAAGCTTCTATTAAATTAATATTAATATTTAAACTCACCATCATTCCCATCATAAAAGGATGGAATAAAACAACTCCTGCTAAAGTAGTTAGTATCAAAGTAATCCCATAGATTTGAGCCTTGACTCCATCGCCATTGCCATTAGCTGTGAACTCGGCTATTAAAGCACCCAACAGAAGGGGAAAGGTACCTCTATTAAAAAATAAATGTATTAATTTACATATATTATTTAAAGCCGTGCACAAATTAAGGAAATATTATATATTTTATTTTTTAACTCACCTCGTTCCCAATTCCAGTATAGCAATAACCAAGCCTGATATCAATAATTGCCAACCAAATACTCTAAGGATAACCTTTATAATGCTTGGTACCTTTTTGGGATTATTACGACAGGACTTGACTTCAGCCTGCCAGGTTTCGAAAAACTTATCACCCAAACTATCAGCTTTGTGTCCTTTCAGAGCCTGATAGAGATCCGTGGGCTCCAGGGTTTTCTTTCTGCCCGTAAAGAGAATGGGCAGGGCAAAGCTGTGAAGAAAATTATAGAGAATTTTAATAAATATAAACATTTTGATAAAAGCTGAGCATCAACGTTCTGTACTGTAATTGTTTCTCCAAACATGATAAAGATAAGTGACAGACGTGATCTTTCAGCTTCACCTATCTACTGATAACAGTTTCATTTTTTGGATAACTACCATGTAATGTTTTCAAATAAAAAGAAAAAATTAATTTATTTATTAGAAAAATGTTTAATTTATTCGAAACTTACCAAAACATCAGGGAGGAAAATATTCCCGCCGATTCGCGAGGATTTTGTGGCAATTTATTAGCCTGCATGATTTAATTATTATTTAATTTGTATCATTAATTATTATGAGTATAAAAGCGTTTTCCTACATAAATGGCACTTTTATGAATTTATTTAGCCTTAATGAATTTCTCTTAATCACTTAAATAAATAGAAAAAAATTCTATTTGATAACGGATAAAAGCATCCGTTGGGTTCCGCTTTTCAACTTGTTCTGATCCAATTTTAAGTGCCTCACCTTAAGTGATAAAAGTCGCGGAACTTTTCTCACCCGAATGACGTAGCTTATCTTAAAGATAATCTGATTAGTTTATGTTGCCAGCAAAGGGAAACCTGTTATTTCGAGATTAATTTTAATACATTATCTGTCAGGGTCAAACGTTAAGCAAAGCAAACGTTTTATATGAATATAATATTATTATATTCATATTCATATATTCATTATTAGTTATTATAATATATTATTTTTTACATTTTCCGTATTTCACAAGAGTTTGTAATTACTTTTATTATGAATAGATAAGAAATAAATAAAGATAATACTACGGAAAATCTAAAATTAGATTAATGTCAATATTTTCCTATTTGAAACGACAAGCGGTTATGCGGAATTATGAAAGATTTTATAAAATAGATGAAAGTAAAGGTAATTATTTCATGAATTCTAAGTTTGATTTAGGTTATTGTAAATTTAACTTATTTTATTTGGATACCCTATAAATGTATAATAATGTAGCAAAAGTTGCACCAAAGTAAGGGTCAGAAAGTATCGTAAGAGTAGGTAATTAACCTTCGTGAATAATATATAATTAATTTAATTTTGAGTATACATTTTTGGACATCCTCAAAACAATATACTGTATCACTTTAAATATAAATTAAGTGAACCATGGCAATAAGGGAATTAATTGGAAAAGGAATGAAAAGCTGGCTCAGCTCATTCGAGACCTAGGCCTGATACCTCCTAGCAATTATATGTACATGATATAAATATCATGATTAAAACTTACCGCAGTGGAGGAGACACGTCATTGCTTATCTTCATTCAGTGTAGAGCTGACCTCAATTAGGCTTTTCACGGTATCATCGATATGATCATCCTCATGGTTATCCAGATGTATTGCATTGGCCACGTCATGTTTTTGGGATCGAAGGGTAATCACAATCACTTTCACTAGAGATGTTAACAGGTGGGGGGCCACGGACAGACTAAGGCCAGCGCGCCGCTTGTGCCCTCTATTTATAGTCCCCGAGTCAAGAGAACAGAGAAAGTGAGAGCGAGAGAGTAAAAGCTATCTCTAGAGAATAACAGAGGGGGAGATACACGCACTGAAAAATATTGAGTTTAAGAGAGAGAGGGAGAGAGTGCGCGAGAGAGAGGGAGTATCAGAGGCCAGTTTGCATAAAATCGACAGACGGACATATAAACATGGCTCGATCGACACGGCTATTGATGCGGATCAAGAATATATATATAGTGAAGTGTTTTAATATTGTGAGTCGAACTAATGTCCCGTCAGTTGACTAAGGACAACGCTAAGTTGAATTAAAACAAACAAACAAAATTAATGTGACAAAAATCTTACTTCTACTGCCCTTTGTTTACAAAAGTTGGGGAGCGAGATCGCCCGCTTGGGATATTGATTGAAGAATTATTTATGTTATTGAGAAGGAGCATTGCTTGCTCCGGATGTGGATTGTTTACATTGGTTCAGCGTGGGATCGCCTACGCTGCAGATTCATATTTCTTGGAACATAACAGAATTTGTGAATATGTCACTTCCCTCCCCTTAAAAGGGTTGCCTATGATTGGGCTGGCATTTCGGGGTACAATGCAAGCAATTGGTTTTGTGCCGGTTCTATTTCTTGTTGTGGTTCTTGATTATTTTTTGCTTGTTTTCTAAATTTTGTATATAAAAAGGTAAGTGGATTTTGTGTATACAATTTTGATAGGACAACAAAAATAATAAGAACGATAACAACTAATATTATAATTACGTAAAGTGTGGTATTATTTTTGAAATTAGTTTTAAAACGTCATTATGTTCTACTATTTTTATCTTAGTAACATTAATCGGTGAATACAATGCTGTTAAATCAAATTCTGGACTTAACGAATTTTCGCTTAAAATAACATTTCCAATTTTAACTCTACATTGTTTTATTCTAATAATTTTGCTTCCATTTATTTTAATATCGCCATTTAATTCTTGACAATTTTGTTCGATTGTAGTTTCAGTTAGATTCCATGTAAGTATAATATTTGGTTCTACATATTGAATCATTTCCTTTGTAGGAGTTGGTATAAAATTACAAATTGGATTTTTACGCTTAATTATATTTTTAATGCATTCATTATTAACTTCTTTATTGTCTTGATTATAAATTTTATTCTTATCTTCAAAATATGATTGTTGATCTGAATAGTCTAACTGATATCCATTATGGTCGGGATAAGGAATTATTTTAATGGTGTTAATGGTTTTGTGGTTAATAGGGATATGTAAAATAAGTAACAATTCGTTATTTTTGTAGTCAATCCACGTAGATGTTTTGATTAAAAGTATATTTTGGCTGTTAATGCGTTCTAGTTTGTCGTAATTGAGTAACTTTGGGTTAAAAATGAATAATAGAAATAACATCATCGTACAGAAGATTCCTGTGGAAGTTTAACGGTATTAGTTTTCTTTTGTTTCTTAAATTGTGTTTTGTAGTATTGGGTTTCCCTATTTCGATTAATAATTTTGTAATGGTCTTCGTCTATTTTTTCTACATTTTTATTTGCTTTAAATGGATTTTCTAATTTTCCCTTTTGAAGTGGACCTTTTCTGTATCTAGTGTCAATGTTAAATTCCTGTCGATCTTCATTTATTTTATCTATTTTCCTTTCTTTAATATTTTGAGTGTTTAATATTGGATGTCCAGCGTATAAGAATATTTGAGCAGGTGTTTGTCCAGTGGTGTCATGTTTTATTTTATGATTGTATGTGTAAAGAATTGTCTCTATTTTGCTTAATTTTACTTCTTCATCATCGGATGAGTTGATTATTCGGATTTTTTTCATTTATTGTCTTATGTAGTCTTTCGACGTCTGCTACACCGGTTTTTGCCGTGTTAAGTTGTAATTCAATTCCTTCTGCTTCAAGCCATCGCTTTAGAGTCAAGCTGGTGAAAGCTCCGTCTCTGTCTGCCTTTAGTAATTTGGGTTTACCTAACTGATTAAAAATGCGCATTAGTGCGTTCCTGCATTCTATCCAATCCTTTGATTTAATATGTTCAAGTGTAGCGAATTTTGAATAAATGTCAATGCAACTGATGTAATGTTTTCCCTCAGATGAATAAATATCTACCACAAATTTGTCTCGACAATGTTCAGGGTTGGGTGTGATTTTAAGAGGCATTTTGGTATTTCTGTGTTCTGTTTTAGCCAAATTGCATATGTTGCATTCATTTATTATATTCTGAATTAATAGTTGGCTATTTGGAAAAAAGTGATTTTCTTTGAATAATTTAGTCATTTTCTGTATACCTGGATGTAAAAGTTTTTCATGTGATTGAAGTATAATTTCTTTGAATTCGGCGTATGAACAAACATTCTTTAATAAGTGGAGGCTGCGAATTACTTTAGTGTAAGTGGTATTAATAATTTCTCTGTGTGCTCTTTGAATGATTTCAAAATCTACATCGCTTTCAATATGAATAGTAATGTTTCTATGAATAAAATGATCAAGTAAAATTTGTTTGGCTTTGTCGAGTGTCATTACATTATATTGAATTGTTGTAATAGAGTTACCGAATATTGTTGAATGCTCTACTTTATTGTTATCGGATTTAATGAAAATTATTTGTTTTTTGAAATAGTTTATTGGTTTTTCTGTTAAATGAATTAGGTTACTATTATCTTCTTCTGCACTATGTTGAGTAACTTCACTATGGTGATTTTCTTCAATTTTAATTCTTGATAATGCATCGGCAACTGAATTTTCTTTCCCTTTAATATAGTCTATTTTAAATTGGTATTCGTTTAACTTGGCTTTCCATCTTTGTAACTTGGCATTTGGTTCTTTTAAAGTATGCAGCCATCTAAGAGGTTGATGGTCACTAGCAATGAGAAAATGTCGTCCTAGTAAATAATGTCGAAAAGTTTTAGTGGCCCAAACAATGGCAAGTAATTCCTTTTCGATAGCACTGTAATTTAATTCATGTTCATTAAGTGTTCTGCTAATAAAGGATATAGGATGACCATTTTGAGAAAGTACGGCTCCAAGGGCTAGATTACTGGCATCTGTGGTTAAAGTGAATTTTTTTTCGAAATCGGGTAATTGGAGAATTGGTTCTCTAATTATTAATGTTTTAAGTTTTTTGAATGCTTCTATGTAGTCGATATTTTGTGTATCTATTTTTGCTCCTTTTTTTAAACATTTGGTCATTGGTTTTGCTATGTCTGCGTAGTTTGGGATAAATTTACGATAATAACCGGTTAATCCAAGGAAAGCTCTGATCTCTTTTACTTTTGTTGGAATTGGATATGAAACTATGGCTTTAACTTTAAGGGGGTTTGGTTTTATACCATTGGGGGTTACGATGTGACCAAGAAAACTAGCTTCCTTTTTTAAGAATTCACATTTGTCTAACTGTAACTTTAAATTTGCTTCTGCAAGTTTGGAAAAAACTAGCTGTAATGAATTTAAATGTTCGGTAAGGGATGTGGAAAAAATTATTATGTCATCTAAATACACTAAACAGTGTTTATTAAGCAACGGTCGAAGGATATTATTCATACACCTTTGAAAAGTAGCAGGTGCATTTCTAAGGCCAAATGGCATTCGAAGGTATTCGTAATGACCGCTTTTGGTGGAGAATGCAGTTTTAGGTATTGATTATGAGTCCATTTCTATTTGATGAAATCCCTTTGCCAAATCGATAGTTGTAAAATATTGGCATTTACCTAGTTTACCAAGGATTTCGTCCATGTTTGGTATTGGATATCTGTCGGGAATAGTTATTTCATTTAGCTTTCTATAATCAA